TTTGGAGACAAGGTCTTGCTCTGTCACCCAGGCTGGAGTGCAGTGTTGCAATCTTGGCTCACTGTAGCCTCAACCTTCCAGGCTGAAGTGATCCTCCCACCTCAGCCTCCCAAGCAGCTAGGACCACAAGTGCTGCACAGCACCACGCCTGACTAATTTTTTGTACAGATGGGGTTTTGCCGTATTGCCCAGATTGGTCTCGAACCCCTGGGATCAAGCAATCTGCCCAACCTCAACCCCCCGAAGTGCTGGGAATACAGGTGTGAGCCACTATGCCTGGTTGAAGCAAATTTTTTAAAAAAGTATTTTTTTCATTGAGCTATAATTTATATATCATAATGTGCACCCATTTAAAGTGTACAATTTAGTGATTTTAAGTATATTCATTAAATTGGCGACCACCACCACTTCTAATTTCAGAACATTGTTTGCCACCTCTAAAGGAAACCCAGCACTCATTTAGCCGTCACTTTATGTTCACTCTGCTCCCAGCCCCTGGTAACCACTCATCTACTTTCCATCTCTGTGGATTTTGGAGCAAATAAATCTAATGTTATTTATTTTATTAGATAGGTATTTTCTGTAGAAAGAATTTACAAGTAAAATGGTGGACTTGTAGAATCCTTGTTTTAAAGGTTGGTTACGCTGAACTCTGAAGCAACTCTCCAACTATCAGCACTGGAAAGTAGTAAACTTTATCTGGCTAGATTTTTGTTTTATTAGTAAAATGTGAAAAGAACTGAACTCCAGAAGCGCTATAATCCTAAGTATAGAATGTCTTCTAAAGGTTAAAACATTGTGGATTTAACTTTTTATTTACATGTTATGTTGATCAGTTTTCTCCTCTTATAGAAGTAAAACCATATTCTGTTTCCTCACATAAAACCAGTGTTTATGAAATATGAATAAACTAAGTTTTTAGGGAAAAAGGAGCCCTGGAATAACGAATATCTGTTCTTTTCTTTTTCTTTTTGATTCCCCAGACACATAGTGGATCTGTATGGCGTGTGACATGGGCCCATCCTGAATTTGGACAGGTTTTGGCTTCCTGTTCTTTTGACCGAACAGCTGCTGTATGGGAAGAAATAGTAGGAGAATCAAATGATAAACTGCGAGGACAGAGCCACTGGGTGAGACATTTGTTGGTATTCTGGGGACTGGGAAGACATGAGTAGCCAAGGAGCACTAGTCCCAAGGGTACCTCAGATAATTGGTAAAATATCACCACTCCCCTCTATTTTTACCAGTTCTAAAGTTCTTCCTTCCATGTTTTTTTTTTCTTGTTTATTTCATTTTAACTTGGGTCTGAAGCAATGATTAGGAGCATCATTGCATTGCTTATAACTTTTATGATGAATCCAGAATATTTGCCTTGTATTTGATTTTACCTATTAGTGTATTTTATAATAGTCGTATATGATTTTTAAGTATTCTGGCTCACTGCAGTCTCAAACTCCTGGCCCCACCTCAGCTTCCTGAGTTGCTGAGATTATAGGCGTGAGCCACTGTGCCTAACTCTAAAATTCTTTTTGTTTTTTAACCTTAAACTCTTAAGGGTTAATACAATTCTTTTTTTTTTTTTTTTTTTTGAGACGGAGGCTCATTCTGTCGCCCAGGCTGGAGTGCAGTGGTGCGATCTTGGCTCATTGCAAGCTCTGACTCCCGGGTTCACGCCATTCTCCTGCCTCAGCCTCCCGAGTAGCTGGGACTACAGGCGCCCGCCACCGTGCCCAGCTAATTTTTTGTATTTTTAGTAGAGACGGGGTTTCACTGTGTTAGCCAGGATGGTCTTGATCTCCTGACCTCATGATCTGCCCTCCTCGGCCTCCCAAAGTGCTGGGATTACAGGCGTGAGCCACCGTACCCGGCCAAGGGTTAATAAAATTATTTTAAAAATGTTTCTTCTGTTTTGTGGTTACTTTTGTTTTCTTAGAAAATATACTCTTCTCGGCTGGGTGCAGTGGCTCACGCCTATAATCCCAGCACTTTAGGAGGCCGAGGTGGGCGGATCACCTGAGGTCAGGAGTTTGCGACCAGCCTGACCAACATGGAGAAACCCCGTCTCTACTAAAAATACAAAACTTAGCTGGGCGTGGTGGCTCATGCCTGTAATTCCAGCTACTCAGGAGGCTGAGGCAGGAGAATCGCTTGAACCCAGGGGGCAGAGGTTGCCGTGAGCTGAGATCGTGCCATTGTACTCCAGCCTGGGCAATAAGAGTAAAACTCCGTCTCAAAAAAAAAAAAAAAAAAAAAAAAGAGAAAATATACTCTCCTCATGCCTGTAATCTCAGCACTTCGGGAGGCCAAGGCGGGTGGATCACCTGAGCTCGGGAGTTTGAGACCAGCCTGACCAACATGGTAAAACCCCTTCTCTACTAAAAACACAAAAATTACAAAAGTTAGCCAGGCATGGTAGCAGGTACCTGTAATCCCAGCTACTCTGGGGGCCAAGGCAGGAGAATCATTTGAACCCGGGAGGCAGAGGTTGCAGTGAGCCGACATCGCTTCATTGCACTCCAGCCTGGGGGACAACAGCAAGACTTCATCTCAAAAAAAAAAAAAAAAAATACTCTCTCCCTTATCTGCATCTGCTTTTATCGCTGTCTTTGCCTGACTGGATGTTTGAATTTGGGCAAGAACATAATATAATCTGTGTGCTGTTGAAGTTCCTCATCTATAAAGTGAAAACATTGAACTAGATTATACGTAAGACTCCTCCTAGCATTTTCATATGAAGGTATTATCATCTGCAGGCTTTTTTACCCCCTTTTATGATTTGTTTTTTGTAATAATCATGCACATGGTATAACTTTCAAAAGAAACAAAAGGAAGTATGTAGTGGGAGTGTCCTGCTGTTACCCCTCACCTACCCTCCCTAATGCATGCTACTAACATTAGAGCCAGTCGCAGCTCATTGCCGTCTCAACCTCCTGGGCCTAAGCGATCCTCCCACCTTTGCCCCCCAGGTAGCTGGGACCACAGGCGTGCACCACAGGCTAATTTTTTTATTTTTTATTTTGTAGAGATGGGGTTTCACCATGTTGCCCACGCTGGTCTTGAACTCCTGGACTCAAGCAGTTCTTCCACCTAGGCCTCCCAAAGTGCTGTGATTATAGGCATGAGCCACTATGTGGGCCATGATGCAGTTTTTTATTGTGGTAAAATATGTATAATGTAATATTTCTCATTTTAGCTGTTTGGTTTTCTTTTTTTCCCCCCCCACACAGATGTTGCTCTGTTGCCCAGGCTGGAGTACGGTGGTGGGATCCCGGCTCACTGCATTCTCCGCCTCTGGGGTTCAAGCGATTCTCCTACCTCAGTCTCCTGAGTAGCTGGGACTACAGGCATGTGCCACCATGCCCAGCTAATTTTTTTGTGTTTTTTGGAGAGACAGGGTTTCACCATGTTGGTCAGGCTTGTCACGAACTCCTGACCTCAAATGATCCGCCCGCCTTGGCCTCCCGAAGTGCCGGGATTACAGGCGTGAGCCATGGTGCCCGGTCCATTTTAACTATTTGTAAGTGGTATAATATAGTAGAATTAATTACGTTCACAGTGCTGTGTACCCATCACTGTTATCTATACCCAAAACTGTTCATCATTGCCAACATAAACTCCGTATTGTTAAAGAATGCCTCCCCCTTCCTCCTCCCTCTACCCCCATTCAACTGTCTATCAATTTGACTAGGTACTGCATATAAGTGGAATCACAGTATTTGTCCATTTGTGACTGGCTTGTTTCACTAAGTAAAATGTTTTCAAGGTCTGTCCATATTGTAGCATATATTAACTTTATTCCTTTCTGTGGGTGGGTAATATTCCATTGTGTGTGTATACCACATTTTATTTATCCGTTCATTTGTAGACGGACCCTTGGGTTATTTCCGCTTCATGGCTGTCGCGAATACTGTGAGCATTGTTGTAAAGATAAACGTTTGAGACCGTGCTTTCCATTATTCTGGATATATACCTAGGAGTACAATTGCTGGCTCATATGGTAGTTCTATGTTTCACGTTTTTAGGAACTGTCCGACTTTTCCATAGCAGCTACACCATTTTACATTCCTACCAGCAATGCTCAACGGTTCCAGGTTTTCCACATCTTCATTAGCACTTGTTATTGTGCTTTTTATTGTAGCCATCCTAGTGACTGTGTTGTGACGTGGTATCTCCATTGTGGTTCTGATTTGCATTTCTCTAGGAATTACTGATGTTGACCATATTTTCATGTGCTCATTGACCAATTGTATGTCTTCCTTGGGAAAATACTATCCATATCCTTTGCCCGTTTTTTAAAATGGGTTTTTTGTTGTTGTAGGAGTTCTTTATATGTTCTAGATATTAATCCCTTATCTGGTATAGGTTGAGTATTCCTTATCCATAATGCTAGGATTCAGAAATGTTTTCGATTTCAGATTTTGGAATATTTGCATTTATACTTTTACCAGTTAAGCATTTGCCTACTTATTTATTCACTTAATAGAGTTGCCCAGGCTGGTCTTGAACTCCTGGGTTCAAGCGATCCTCCACCTTGGGCCCCCCCCGAGTGCTGGGATTACAGGTGTGAGCCACCATGCCCGACTCCAATTAAGCATTCTAAATCCAAAACTTTGAGATTCATAATGCTTCAATGAGCATTTTTTTTGAGCATCATGCCAGTGCTCAAAAAGTTTTGGATTTTGGAGCATTTCAGATTTCAGATTTTTGGATTTCGTATGCACAATCTGTAAATGATTTACAAATACTTTCTCCCATTCTGTGGGTTGCCTTTTTCACTCTTGATGATTTTCTTTGATGCACAAAATATAAAAATTTTGAAGTCCAGTTTATCTATTTTTTTCTTTTGTTTCCCATGCTTTTGGTGTTATATCCAGGAAAGCATTGCCAAATCCAGTGTCAGGAAGACTTTCCCCAGCGTTTTATTCTAAGATTGTTATAGAATCCTCAATTCAGGCTTTGTATCCCCAGTGCGGAGCTGAGACCAAATACTGAGTCACCGGTACTTGGAGATAGAGAAAGGTTTATTTGATTTGACTAAAGCAAGAAGGTGGGAGGGCAAGATCTCTTAAATCCATCTAAACAAAAGGAAGCAGTGGGTAGTTTTTAATGTGACTAGAGAGTAAGGGATGGGGAGTTTCACAGAATCTAGTGGAAAAAGTCTGTGTTTTTTAAGTCTCCGGTAATGCCTTGAGCAACCAGACATCTGGTTGTTAGCAGCTGGTAACAGTGTCCCTGAAGCCATTCATTTCTTCTGGCAACATTTTTCTTTACGTGACCCTGAAGTTATCTCTTCCTGCTTGACAAAAAAAAAGCAGTACATCAACAGTTTATCATTATATTGTTTGCAACAAGGAATATTTAGCAAAAAGTGAGTGATTAACATGTGCAAGCAAGCAAGGGCCTGACAAAAATTATTTATTTCAGTCATTAAAAAATGCTAGGGTGCTGAAATCTAGTTTTCCCAGCACCATTTATTGAAAAGACCGTTCTTTCTCCTGTTGAATGCTCTTGACACCTTCGTTGAAAATTAATTGGCTATATATATGGAGGATTGCTTTCTGGGCTCTCTTGTGGACCACTGGTCTGTAGGTCTCCTTGTCCTAATAGCGCACTGTTTTAATTCCGGTAACTTTGTAGCTTGAGTGGCTACTCAGACTGTTTTACAGCTCTTCTAGGGGGAGGAGTATGTCTGATTGCCTTTGCACTAGGGATTCCCTAAGCCAAACAGCTGCTTATGGGGAGGAGGGAATAGAAATTTATAGACTTGTAAAGGATTTTTTGGCATTAAGTCGGAGGTGTGTCAGTTCAGTATACTATAGGTTGGATTTGGGAGTGGTGGCATAAGAAGGACTTTTCTTCGAAATTCAAGATACTTATTTGTATTTAGTTTAGTCACCTTTCATTAATATATTAGCAGTGGCGAATCCATTTGTGTGTGCAGCAACCTTATTTCTTGCTTCCTCAGAAGAAAGAATTCTACCTAGGGGCATAAGGCAGAGTAAGAGACTAAGGTAAGTTTTAGAGCCAGAGTGGAAGTTTGTTAAAGAATTTTACAGCAGAAATGAAAGGAAGTAAAATACACTTGGAAGAGGACCAAGTGGGTGACTTGAGAGAGTCAAATGCGTGGTTTGACCTGTTGTAACTGAGCGAGTTGTGGACAAACGCCACACGGTGAGACTAATTCAGGAGTCCTTTTATTGCCGGCCACCGAGAGACGGCTAGCGCTCAAAATTCTCTAGCCCCGAAGAAGGGGCTAGATCTCTGTTTATACCATGGTCTAAATCGGGGAGGGGGAGTTTAGCTGAAGCATTTTTTACAGAAGCAGAACAGGCAAAAAGTTAAAAAATTAATTGGTTACAGAAGCAGTTACAGAAAAATAAACAGTTCCAGGCGCAGGGACTGGAACTGTCACAGAGAGATAAATGCAGGGGCTTTAAGTACTATCCAGCGAGCGCGTCCCCGGGAGCTGCTGATTGAACTTGCCTCAGTATCTTACCAGCAAGTGCGTTCCTGGAGTCCGCTTGCCCTCGCTACGCCTTGCACGGGGGGAGGTAAGGTGGGCTGCAAGTGAAGGCACTGAAATGGAGTCTGTCGGGCTCTCTCAGCTAAGAGAGGCAATCCGGTTAAAGCAGACCTTTGACTTGGGTGGTCAGACGTTGGCGTGCTTCCCGGGGTTGCGTCTCTTCTCCTCTGATTCCCCCCTGGGGTGGGCAGTCCGCGTGTGCGGTGGCCCGCTTGTGCTTGGGAGGGCTGCGTGTGCGGTGTGTTTACCGGAGTTGTGCATATGCTCGCTTGAGGCCTTCTTCCCTCACCAGAATGTTCCTAGAAGGTCGTACATCGGCTGGGTTCCGCCATTTTGCCTCTTAGTGCGCATGCGTGAGCCGCTCGTCCGCCGCCTGCGGTCTCCCCAGGCGCTGCCGGTCGCCGGTGTCCGGGGTTTGTGTCTGTTCGGAGACTGCGTTCGCGGGCGTGGCTGCAGCCAGTGGTTAGTTCAGAGAGAGAGTTTAACCACGGCCTGCCCGTCACCGCATGGTTGCTTGGTGTTCCTGGTGGGGTGGGGTCCTCTGCTGCCCCGCTCCTGTCTGACGACCCACTGTAACACATGGGTTGATTTTCTCAGCATCTGTGTTTGTATTATTCAGTGGGGTCTGTAGACAAATGTTTGCTAAGGTGTTATCTTTGAAGTGTATGTAATATCATCCTTTTAATATTGAGACTCTTGTTTTTTGAGACGGAGTCTTGCTGTGTCGCCCCGGCTGGAGTGAGTGGCGCGATCTCAGCTCACTGCAAGCTCCACCCTCTGGGTTCCCGCCATTCTCCTGCCTCAGCCTCCCGAGGAGCTGGGACCACCGGAGCTCACCACCACGCCCGCCTAATTGTTTTGTATTTTTTAGTAGAGACGGGGTTTCACAGTGTTGGCCAGGATGGTCTCGATCTCCTCACCTCGTGATCCGCCCGCCTCGGCATCCCAGAGTGCTGGGATTACAGGTGTGAGCCACCGTGCCTGGCCAATATTGAGACTCTTTAAGAAGCATTTTGGTAACCATAGACAGTAATCTGTTGATTTCTAAACTTTATTGACTTTTTTTTTTTAAACAGAGTCTCGCTCTGTCACCCAGGCTGGTGAGTGGCATGATCTCGGCTCACTGCAGCCTCCGCCTACCACATTCAAGCTATTCTACTGCCTTAGCGTCCCTAGTAGCTGGGGTTGCAGGCTCCTGCCATCACGTCTGGCTAATTTGTATATTTTTAGTAGAGATGGGGTTTCACCATGCTGGCCAGGCAGGTCTTGAGCTCCTGACCTCAAGTGATCACCCACCTTAGCCTCCCAAAGTGCTGGGATTACAGGCGTGAGCCACCGCACCTGGGCTTATTGATGTTTTTAGTAAGGTTTCATCTTATCTGTGTGCCAGAAGGTAACTTTTAAATGTGATGTTGGAATTTTACAGTGATCACAGAGCTTGCTTTCTACCATTCTTTTGGTCTCTGTTAAATGCCTTCACTTAAAAGTGCATGGTAGCTGCGTGCAGTGGCTCACACCTGTAATCCTAGCAACTCGGGAGGCTGAGGTGGGAGGATCGCTTGAGGCCAGGAGTTGGAGACCCATCTGTGCAACATAGTGAGACCCCCATCTCTAAAAAAAATAAGAAAAACTAGCTGGGCGTGATGGCAGGTGCCTGTCATCCCAGCTACTGGGAAGGCTGAGGCAAAAGGATCACTTGAGCCATGATCATGATACTGTATTCCAGCCTGGGTGACAGAGCAAGACCCCGTCCCTAAGAAAAAAAAAAAAAGAATAATAGTGGTCCAAATGGGATTAACAGAAAATTACTCTTGAGAGAAGAAATTGCATGCCTTCCTTAGTGTTTTTTTTTTTTGTTGGTTTGTTTGTTTTTTGAGACAGGGTCTTGCTCTGTTACCCAGTCTGGAGCACAGTGGTGCGATCTTGGCTCATTGCACCATCTGCCCCACTGGCTCAAGCAGTCCACCCACGTCAGCCTCCCGAATAGTTGGGGCCACAGGCGTGCACCACCACACCTGGCTATTTTTTTTTTTTTTTTTTAATTTTTAGTAGAGATGGTGTCTTGCCATGTTGTCCAGGCTGGTCTTGAACTCCTGAGCTCAAGCAATCTGCCTGCCTCGGTTTCCCAAAGTTTTGGGATTACAGGTGTGAGCCATCATGCTCAACTCATTTACTGTTAAAGGATCTAATACCTGCAGCATGCTTTATATGACAAAACTGCTTGTCTGAAAATTCTAACATTTTCTGTTTTTTTGTGACCAGTCTGCTTAAGAGAGATTACTTATATAATAAAGGTAGGCTTTTGGAGGTAGACATTTTTTTTTTTCATTAAAGGGAGTAATTAATTATAGCTAGCTAATTTGTTAGTGATTCCCAGCTATATATGTGGTATTTTGCCATGTACTTGTAGGAAATTGTGGCCCAGACACATACCCAAGCTCGTATACCTAGTGAATGACAGAGGAGTTTCTGTGTGATTCCAGCGTCTGTGTGTCTTTCCCACTCTACCACGCTTGCTTTTTGTATGGAATTTAAATTGTTAATTTTTTTTTTTTAGGTTAAAAGGACAACTCTGGTGGATAGCAGAACATCTGTTACTGATGTGAAGTTTGCTCCCAAGCACATGGGTCTTATGTTAGCAACCTGTTCGGCAGATGGTATAGTAAGAATATATGAGGCACCAGATGTTATGAATCTCAGCCAGTGGTCTTTGCAGCATGAGATCTCATGTAAGCTAAGCTGTAGTTGTATTTCTTGGAACCCTTCAAGGTAAGTTTACATGTTAAACCTCTGATAACATCCTAGTAAAATAAACTAGTAATTTTTTTTTTTTTTTTTTTTTTTTGTGAGACAGCTTCTCCCTCTGTCCCCCAGGCTGGAGTGCAGTGGCGCAGTCTCGGCTCACTGCAAGCTCCGCCTCCTGAGTTCTTGCCATTCTCCTACCTCAGCCTCCCGAGCAGCTGGGACTACAGGTGCTCGCCACCATGCCCGGTTAATTTTTTGTATTTTTAGTAGAGAAGGGGTTTCACCCTGTTAGCCAGGATGGTCTTGATCTCCTGACCTTGTGATCTGCCCGCCTCAGCCTCCCAAAGTGCTGTGATTACAGGCGTGAGCCACTGTGCCTGGCCCATAAACTAGTAATTTTTAAGGTAATAATTTGATAATTCTCTCAAAAGTGCTTTTTCTCAAGATATATAGATTATATGTTCTCCGTTTTTCACCCAGGCATGTCACTTGTCCCTGTTTTCACTCAGCAGAGGGAACCAGCATTGTAAATATGTTCATGTAAACCTTTTGGATGTTTTCTATGCATATACGAATAACTAATGAAGTCATAAACAGACATATGCAAACACGCCCAAATATTTACTAGCACAGGTAGACACAAAACACACAGATGTTGAAACCCATACATTTGATTGATTGATTGATTGGTTGATTGAGACAGTGTTGCTCAGTTGCCCAGGCTGGAGTGCAGTGGCGCTGTCTTGGCTCACTGCAGCCTCCACCTCCTGAGTTCAAGCAATTCTCCTGCCTTAGCCTCCCAAGTAGCTAGAATTACAGGCATGCGCCACCACATCTACCTAATTTTGCATTTTTAGTAGAGACCATGTTTCACCATGTTGGCCAGACTGGTCACCTCAGGTGATCTGCCTACTTCAGCCTCCAAGAGTGCTGGGATTACAGGCGTGAGTCACTGCACCCAGCCAGAAACCCTTACATTTTCCTTCCTTGCAATTAGCTTTTTTCACTTAAAGATACATTGTGGGCATTTTTCTATGTATTAATATATCTCGTTCTACCTCATTTCTTTTTAACTGCCATGTAAAGCATGATTGCATGTATATTACCATAGTTGCTTTTTATTAAACTATTTTTAAACAATTACAAGAATCCCTTGGTAAAGAAAAGAATTGAAATAATCTATAAGAATACAGAAAGAAAGGTAAAGTTCTTTTACCCCCTAAAAGCAAATGCTGTTATTAGTTCTGTTTTCAGACTTTAATTCTGGTAGTCACTAGTATATTTTTAAAGGATTTACTTATACCTCTGGTTCTTGCTATGTTATCTTTTTTTTTTAAATTTTTATTCTGCTATTTTTCCACATGTTCTTGCTATGTTATCATTAAACAATATCCAAACTGATAGGAAAGATGAATAGAGCACATTTATACAACTTTCCACATCCCAAGGTATGACTAGATAGATATCTTATTTGTGGTGATGTTGATAGTTGTTTGAGTTATGTTGGTAATTATTATAATTTCAAATAATATATATCTCTATACATATTTATCAATTTTTAGACTATTTACTCCCCTCTCTCCTTTTTTTTTTTTTCTTGAGATGGAGTCTTGCCTTGTTGCCCAGGCTGGAGTGCAGTGGCATGATCTCTGCTCACTGCAACCTCCACCTCCTGGGTTTAAGTGATTCTCCTGTGTCAGCCTCCCAAGTAGCTGGGATTATAGGCACCCGCCACCACACCCAGCTAGATTTTTTTGTATTTTTAGTAGAGACGGAGTTTCTCCATGTTAGTCAGGCAGGTCTGGAACTCCTGACCTCAGGTGATCTGCCCGCCTTGGCCTCCCAAAGTGCTGGGATTACAGGCGTGAGCCACTGTGCCTAGCTTCTGCGCTCTTAAAAAAGAGGAAATTAGTTTATTTTGCTTCCCCCTCATATTGCCCCTTCCATTTCCTCATTTTTTTTTTTTTTTTTTGAGGCGGAGTCTCGCTCTGTCACCCAGGCTGGAGTGCAATGGCGTGATCTCGGCTCACTGCAACCTCCGCCTCCCGGGTTCAAGTGATTCCCCTGCCTCAGCCTCCCGAGTAGCTGGGATTACAGGCACCTGCCACCATGCCCAGCTAACTTTTTGTATTTTTTAGTAGAGAGAGGGTTTCACCGTATTAGCCAGGATGGTCTCGATCTCCTGACCTTGTGATCCGCCTGCCTGGGCCTCCCAAAGTGCTGGGATTACAGGCGTGAGACACTCAGTCCATTTCCTAATTCTTGTATTGCTTGTATACTGGCAAGATTTATAATATTTACATTCTGTAAACATTTAACACATATGTGTATTTTGTCTTTTGACTACAAATTGATTCTAAAAATTAAACAGCAGCCAGCTTTACAATCTAGATTATGTAAGTATTCATTTGAGATGCCAATATCTGTTTCATGAAAGCTTTGTTGTTCCTGTAGAATAAGCCGGTATTACTTATGATGAGTGCTCTGTTTCCTTTCTTCATTTCTTTTACTTCTGGCTTATACTTAGCTGTCACAGATTTTCTGTCACATGTTGTCTTTAGATTTTTTTTTTTTTTTTTCATTCAAGCAGTCTTCTTGGCCTGGCCTCCCAAAG